AGAGCTCAGTAATAAAACATGAGTCTAACCCCCCACCCCACCCCCGCTCTGTGCCGCAGCGCAGCGCAACAGCTGTCACTTCAGACCCGCGGACCAGCTGATCAAGAGACAGAGACATAACCCTCCCTTATTTTAATCAACAATAAAATGCAGCAAAGCATATATCTGCAGTTATTCACTGAAGAAAACGTAACTTCTATGAGCTAAATAAAAATATTAAATTGAATAAATGGATCAGGAAAGCAGGAAGAATAGTTATTTCTGTTTTTACATTTTTCTTTTCGTTTCATGGCGTTTGTTTACAATTTTTCTTTCGGGAAAGGCAACTCTGCGCATGCTCAACCTATTTAATCGGATTAAATGCTTGGTGCATATGTACGCACGGCATGATCGGATCATTTCAGTTCGTGTCCATGTGAACAGAGATTCGGAAATTCCAATCAACCAAGATTTCAATCGGATTGAGGAAATTTGGCTCATGTAAACGCAGCTAGACAGCAAGAAATATGCTCACATGCATGCACGCATATGCACACACACACCCACATACAACATTTTTACCAAGTAGTATTTCTATGGCTCCATTGTGATTTCTTAGTAAATATTCTATTTAGTAAGAGATAAACTTAATTGTATTTATCGAAGTGAATCTATAATTCATTCAACAGCTAAACTAGTAGTAGCACATTCCATGTCAAAGAGAGTAAAATGTTATCAGGAGAGAGGGAATGTTAAGTGGATAGCAGCAATGTGTAAGCGATGGCCTCCTCCATGAGGCTGCCACAGCTCAGCAGAACACCGACAAGGCTAAGTACACGTATGGCAAAGCATTTTAAGAGCAGATTTCATATTGTTGAATTTTTAAATGTAATTTAATCTTTGTTCTCCGACCTTTTATCTCTTCTCCCTGTACATATTAAATTAGCATTTTCACAGCCTTTTTAAAACAAGATACAGTTAGTAGAAGCTGTAGTGAAAATAAAAAAACATTAGCGCTCAAAAGCAAAAATACCACAAACATGATGCCCACTGATGAGCTGAACAGATTTGTATAGATGATGGGAAAAAGGCATGCGCTCTCAAACCGAACAAGGCTAAAATCATTAGCACCTACAGCAGATCTATTGATTTGACACGAAAGAGAGAGGTCACACGGGATGGAAGTGAAAAGAGAAGTTGCTGCATTTGGCTGTTCATACTCCACTGAGCACAAATGCCTGATATTCCCAATTCCCAAAGTGTCAAATATGTATAAGCAGAGTCTGAGCTCTCACTCTTTGAATGATGATTCACACAAGCCTCTGGCCTCTGGACAATATTAATGGGAAGACTTGCAAAAAGTACAGATGCAGAGAGCTGTGTGTGTGTGTGTGTGTGTGTGTGTGTGTGTGTGTGTGTGTGTGTGTGTGTGTGTGTGTGTGTGTGTGTGTGTGTGTGTGTGCGCGTGTGTGTGTGTGCGCGTGTGTGTGGTCAGGATAGGAGGCAGGTGAGGTGAAGCACATCATCTATCACTCAAGTCGAACAGAGGAGGAGAGCTCTCCTTGCTCCGTAACTCAAACAATCAGGGGCCTTTGCACTTGAGCAGTTGGCCTTTTCAATGGCAGATGGAAAAGAAACTGGTCACAAACTCAACATGATTACTTATATAGTGAGCGTTGCTTTTTGGGGCTTTCACATCTGGGTCAGTACGGTCAGGTTTGGGACCAGAATTTGGTTTCACACCTGGGTCAGAAATGCATTTTACCTTCAGAGGTGACTCTTTTTTTCCTCGTAGGTCCCACTGGGACCGAGGTGACTCTACTGACTGATTGGCCAGCTGAAATTCACACCATCAGCCAGAGTGGGGTACCCACATGCATGATTCATTTTCATGCTGGATAACAGCATCCAGCATGAAAATGAATCATGCATGTGGGTACCAAACATTTCTGTCTGTGGCACAGAGCTCCCGCTCAGTGGGAAAGGAAAAGGAGAGCTGCGTGTTTTCCTCCCGAGCAGCGAACATCTCTGCATGGAGCTCTCACCACAGCTGCACAATGGGAGGAGAAAGCGTGTGTGTGTGTGTGTGTGTGTGTGTGTGTGTGTGAACAGAACACAAGGACATGCTGAGGAAAAGGAGCAAATTAATAAAATGAAGTGGTTCAGAGTTTCCAAAAGCAACACAGGTCACTTCCACCTTGAAACTGAATTGACGCGATCCTCGCCCAACCATACTGACAGAGTTGTGTAAGCACTATATGAAATCCTAATATTGCTATCCTAACCCCAATGTTTATCTATTATTAGCCTGTGCATCATGTAAAAATCCAAACAAGACACGAGGTGCGTTGTATCTGTCTGTCGAGGTGAAGAGAGAGCTGCGCCAGAAGGCAAAGCTCTCTCTTCACGGTCAATCTACGTTTCTACCCTCACCTATGGTCACGAGCTTTGGGTAGTGTCCCAAAGAACGAGATTGCGGGCACAAGCGGCTGAAATTAGTTTTTCTCAGGGTGTCTGGGCTCTCCCTTAGAGGGTGAGAAGCTTGGTCATCCAGGAGTGGCTCAGAGTAGACCCGCTGCTCCTTCATATCGAGAGGAGCCAGTTGATGTGGCTCGAGCATCTAGTTAGGAGGCCTCCTGGATGCCTCCCTGGTGAAGTTTTCTGGGCACGTCCAACCGGGAGAAGGCCTATAGGAACACCCAGGGCACGCTGGAGGAACTATGTTTCACACTTTAGGATTCCGCCGGAGGAGCTGGCCCAAGTGGCTGGGGAGAGGGAAGTCTATGCCTCTCGACTTAGGCTGCTGCCCCCGCAACCCAACTCCGGATATACGGTCGAAAATGGATGGATGGATAATTTAAAATTAAAAAAAAAATTATCTTCTCCAGCTGTTTATTATGTTTTTGTACTTTCCTAACATTGACACTAACAATGTTGTATCCCTATAAGTATGTTGGTTTTTGCATTTATTTACTAATTTGGTTAGAAGCATGTTATTTGCTTTCTCACACAACCCTTAATACATTGCCAGTTTGAGGACGATTTTACTCCATCTTGTCTCAAATGATAGTCATAATATAAAAATCTATCATAAAATGCTCAGATTGATAAACATTCCTTCAAGAAATGCTTGACCCTAACCCTAACTCTAAGCACACAGCTAAAATAACGAATGAGTTGCTTCACGGCAACTCTGTGACTGTTCTTGAGTGGCTCAGCCAGAGCCCCGACTTAAACCCACTGAGCATTTCTGGAGAGACCGAAAATGGCTGTCCACCAACGTTCACCATTCAACCTGACACAACTGGAGAGGATCTGCATGGAGGAATGGCAGAAGATCCCCAAATCCAGGTGTAAGAAACTTGCTGAGTCTTTACCAAGAAGGCTCATGACTGTATTCACCCAAAGAGATGCTTCTACTAAATACTGAGAAAAGTGTCAGAATACTTACACCCATGTGATGTTTTAGTTTTTCTTTTTTAATAAATTTGCATACATTTCTAAAATTCTGTGTTTTCTGTCAATATGGGTTGCTGTACATGAATGAGGGGAAAATATTTTATATATTTTAGCAAATGGCTGCAACATAACAAATAATGAAAAATGTATGGGGGTCTGAATACTTTCCATACCCACCATATGTACATTTGTATCTACATATCTCTCTCTCTCTCTCTCTCTCTCTCTCTCTCTCTCTCTCTCTCTCTCTCTCTCTCTCCCACACACACATATATATATATATATATATATACACACAGTATATATATAACTGAACTGGACTGTGTTTCCTCTTATCTGTTTGAGATTTCCTTCTGTGTGACCATTTCCGAGTGTCAGTTCGATGGTGTCCCACAAGGCTCTGTGCTTGGTCCTCTATTGTTCCTCCTTTATCTGTTCCTTCTCCAGCACATCCTGAGCTCTTTTTAAAGGAATTTTCAACCATCTTTATGCAGATGACATTCAACTATAAATCACCTTTAAGCCCCATGAGATGTCTAAGCTGTAGCTGTTGTACACTTGCTTAGACAGTTGAATGAAGACAAGACTGAGATCCTAATCTGTGCCCCCCAACAAGCTCCTGACATCAGAGATTCTCTTGGTCAGCTCACACCAAACCCTCTGTTGGGGGTCTTGGTGTCACCTTTGACTAAGTTCTCACTCTGGATTTCCATGTGCGTTGGGCGAGCCTACTTCCGTGTACCCTCAAATGGCCTTGTAAAGGTATGACATTGGCTCAGTGTTTTGTAATCAAGTAAGAAAACAAATGGAAGTCCAATATTCATAATTACACTTGAATTTAAATTAGGTCATAGTCATTTTTGTTTCATTCACCCATGAAACAGGTTGTATGAAGCATTCAATTATCAGCATACTCTTCTGTCCAGTCCTTTGGCATGGATTTGAAAAAATTAGGGCATTTGTCATCGACATTGTGACCCTGCTGCCACAGAAATATTTTATTGCCTCTGCAACATCAGTCCCTTTGATTGCCAAGTCCTCCCTCAACTCCCTAATCTTTCCTTCCTATTACTGTAGATTCATATTCAGCTGTAAATTTTAGAGTTATTTAAATCATTTTAGAATAAAAACATATGCCATAAATGTTAAACCTTGTTGCATTAATATGAATGGCCTAGAACGGGATGGAAATATTGCTGCTTATTTTGCTTTTTGCAACTAACTTTTTTCAACACCAAGAATCCTCAAATCTACAACTGTAAAACATCTAAAGTCAAAAATATTCTGACAAAGATCAAGAGAAACAAATTTTCAGTAAAGGTCATAAATCTTTGGTGCTTTTTGCATGTAGCTGTTTTGTATTTTTACGTGAAAATGTATTTTAGCATAAATAAATTGTATTTAATTTATAACATAAATATTTTACAAAATTATAATAATGGTCTGCAAGCATGATAAAAAGAGCTCAGAATTGGACTAGAGCTGTGCTATTAGACTGCAGTGAGATGCGCTAAATAAGCACAAAACATGCACATTTATAGCTTACAAAAGAAAACACTTACAGGAACGATTTAACATCCAGGCCTCTGTGGCGGATCTGCTCCATCATGTGGTCCCAGCTGCCTGGATTTGACCGAGATCGGCCAGCCCCAGTTCCTCTGTGCCGGGATGCTCCAGCCGGACTCCCCCGGACCCCCCGCGGGCCCCCACGGTGGCCCCCGCCGCCTGGACCCGTGTGTAGCTGGCCCAGGCTCTGTGAGGTGACCGGGGGGTCGTTGGGACCCGGAGGGGGCTGGTGAGTGAGGGGCTGTTGGAGGCTCTGCTGCCGAACGAGGGGTCGAGGGTGTGCCACTGCCGATGACGGGATGTGTTCCAGGGTAGAGGCCGATGAGAGAGAGGCGTCCCCAAAACTGAGCAGAAACATGGGAGCAGAGGAAAAGAAGATGGACACAACATGGTAGATGTTAGATTTAGAGAATGCATGCTTCAGATGGTAGGTAACTGTCAGGTGATTAAATCATGCATTTTGAAAACAACGTAAAAGTTGTAATAACAATGATTACTTATGTAATGTAAATGGCAAAGGCAGGGCTGAATGAAATGTAAAAAGACATTTCATAAGAGACTGAAATAACAAAAGTAACAAAATAATGTTATTTAAGATGCATGAATGTGTCAGTAAATATCACGTAAACGTGATACGTAAATATCATGTAAACATGCTCCCTGGAAATGTTGCCAAAACAAACGTCACGCAAAATGAATTTAGAGCTGAGCTAGAAGTATCACTATCACTTCACTCGGGTCTCCATCTGCAACTCTAAATTGTTTCTGGACGTTATCGCTCGCTAATTAGCCTCGACCTACTTCCACCTTCTTGCCTTGATGACTTGTGCTTCCATCAGTCTTCCTCTAAGGCCCTTTCTACTCCTTCCATGTTTTGCCCTCCCACTCTCCCACTTACCTTTGTGCAAACAACCGCTCCGTGTCTCCCCCATCCATTCATCTTTTCCCCACTCTGCTTCACACCGCTCCATCTTCACATCACCTTCCATCACTGCTCTTTAAATCTGTTTTCTAATTGTTGCTCTGCTTCTCTTACAGACCTGTAATGGTGCTTCTCTCCTTATCGTCTCCTCAATCACTGCCCTGCCTGATGACTGTAAGCTTGTGCTAAACAGCTCTGTCTGGAGTTAAGGCTGTGAGGGAGGATTTACTGCCCGGACTTGAGTAGAGTTAGCGGGGCTCTTCGGTATTAATTCAGCCTTAACCCTGTTGGAGAGCTCGGGAGAAAAGCACGCAGAGGAACACAGAGATGATGGGTTGAGTAAATACAGGACGAGAGCTTGTTTACTCATGCACTCAGGCAAGCATGCTCTCTCTCTCTCTCTCTCTCTCTCTCTCTCTCTCTCTCTCTCTCTCTCTCTCTCTCTCTCTCTCTCTCTCTCTCAAATGCAAACTTTTTCCTCACGAGAGGCTTTGATGATAACATTAATTTGCTTGTTCTTGATTTTCTACCCATATTAAGGTAAATGCAGGGTCAACATTTTGGTAAAAGCATTTTTTTCTCTTACTTGTGACTGTTGGTTGGAGAATTTGCAAGTTTTGGATGAAACTCCTAATCAAACCAAAGTTGAGCAACAGATCTTTTGAACTATCAGATACTGAAAAGAACAATGGACAATGGTCAGAGTGGATAGGAACAACGCTGCAGCACGGTACATCTGGTTTGATGGTGTTATACGTCAGATTCACGGAGTATAGTGGAAGTGCCTAGGCAGGTCGTAGCTCTGCTAAGCTGGGATGCCACTTCCATCCAGAGAAATTTCTTTTTTAACTGCATTATCTTGATGCCTTAGCCAGTTTGGTTCAACTTCAGATGGACTAAGGTGTAAACATGATTTTCAACCGTCTGACTTTAGCCAGACCATAATTTGGTTTTCTCTTACTGCATGTAAATGTGCCAAGTCTTTCTGTGAATTTTGCATTTTCTGCTTCATGCATTTGTGGCTTTTTCTCCAGGTTCTATTCAATTCAATTCAATTTTATTTATATAGCGCCAAATCCCGACAAGAGTCGTCTCAAGGCACTTCACATAAACATTCCAATTCAGGTCAGTTCATTAAGCCAATCAGAAATAATGTTTTCTATATAAGGAACCCAGCAAATCGCATCAAGTCACTGACTAGTGTCAGTGACTTTACAGCAATCCTCATACTAAGCAAGCATAAAGCGACAGTGGAGAGGAAAACTCCCTTTTAACAGGAAGAAACCTCCTCTATTTTTGGCCTTGCTTCTGTGCAAGGCCACATGCTCCTGGTGTCTATCTCCACTATGTGGGTGACAAATGGCACTCTTTTCAATTATTTGTATTTCCTTAAACATTTTCATGCTTCATACATGGGACCAATATCAAAGTCTATTCAATTCAGTTCAGTTTATGTCTATAGCACCACAAAAAGCCCTTCACGAAGTAAACATTACAACTTAACCTACTTAGATCATTGAGTTCAATTCATCATGCTAAATAGTTCAAGGTTTTGAATGTAAGATTGCATCGAGTCACTGACTTGCGTCAGAGACTTTACAGCAATCCCCATTCTATGCAGGCATGTAGCGACAGTGGAGAGGTAAACTCTCTGGGAGTTTAAGAGTCAAACAAGTCAGTAAAGTAAAGTTTTACACAGAACTAATAACAAACATATTCCCTCAATGTTTGAATGGGTTTTAACTCTTTAGGTTTACGCCATTATTGACGTTTTCATTTGGAAATCTTTCAAGCTCTCATTCTTAGTCTTCCTATTTTTTCCTTTAAATTGATAAATAATGAACTTTTTTGTCAGTAGTATGCAGTCGGTGTGAAATGGTGTGCAGCTCCAAGTTCCTAAAGGTTTAAATGTTTCACAAAAGTTGTGAGTTACTCAAATAGAGTGAGTAAGGAATTTTCTAAGTTCAAACTTCATCCTACAATTTGAACTTGCAAAAATATCCGTACCCCTTGAACTCGTCCACATTTTGACTCCTCACAAACTCAACTGACTTTCTGTGATAGACCAGCACAGAGTAGCACTTAATTGTAAAGTGGAAAGAAATTGATAAACGGTTTTAAAATGTTTAAGTAAATAAAAATCTGAAAAGTGTGGCGTGCATCTTTATCCTGCCCGCATGTGTTAATGCTTTGTACAGCTGCAAGTCTTTTGGGGTAAGTCTGACCCAAATTCGCACTTCTAGAGGAAGCATGTGTGCAGACAGGCATGTAGCTTGTGTTAATATCTATATTCATGCATTCTCTTTTTTCTGTTTTTGAAAATTCAGTTTGAATTATATTTTTTAAAATGTTTCACCTGGTTTATTTATGAAGCAACACAAATCATCTACATTTTAAAGAGTCCTGCCCAGGGTGTTGACAGTCCGTCACAGGACTAACGAGAAGCAAACAAGCACAGACGGGGTTGATTTAGAATTTACATTCAACGTAACATTCGTACATTTATGTCTGCGCGAGAAGATTGGACTTCCTATTTACAACAGACCACCCGAGATTGAGTCAGCATATTTAGAATTTAAATGTTTCTAAGCTTTATTTTTCATTTCCTCTCATGCTCTGTTGTTTCAGAATCAAAATGTAAAAAAAAAAAGTGATTAGCAAAAGCTGTAGCATAGAAATAACGTTTTTTTTTAACATTTAGGAATGCAACGCTGCAGCTGCTGTGTAATCAACATGAAGAATGAACAAAAAGGTCCGCTGACATGCTCTAAATTTCACATAATGTATGGGTTCAACAGTCATGTTATCATAACTGACATCATGAAAAGTCAATACATCTGGCTGGATGGATGGTGACATTAGGCCAGACATCTGGGAGCCAGTCCATGGACTAATAAATTTAGCCCGTGTGTCCAGTGTCATAAATCTGACTCAGAATTTACTCATCTGAAAAACTCATTGGCCTCATCGCACAGAGTTTTCCCTGGATCTACTCATCCTTTCAGGCACTGTGCATTTTTTCTATTTTCTGAATTTGTTTTTAAAGCGCCACACCAGAGATTTCTACACCCAGGACAGGAGTCTTCTTTATCTGCTGGATCCTGTTTCTGACTCGGAGGGTTATTTCCACGTTTCTTCTAGCCTGAAAGTCAATTAGGGCGACTAGAAACCTTGAATGATTTTGTAATTACGGGAAATTGTGGAGGGTGAAAAATGAGGAAAGAGGGAAAAAAACAACACCAGACAGTGAAGAGTGGATGAGAGAGAGAGAGAGAGAGAGAGAGAGAGAGAGAGAGAGAGAAAAGAGAAGCAGGGAGGGAAAGGGAGAAGGGAGAGGAGAGGGAGATGCCCAAAAATAGAAACCAATTCCAGAGGAGAAACAGAAATACAACGAGACCAAAAAGGGAGGCCTGAGACGAGAAGAAAGTGACAGGAGTAAATAAAATTTAAACCATCCAATCAAATTTGGGCAGTTCTTGAATTATTGTTTGGTTTTTAAGATCTAACACATGTCCCTTTTCAACAGCAGGCCAGCTTGATTAGTCACATATGAGTTTAGTGCTTTTAGTCCAGACATGTGAGTGTTTGGGCTGTGGATTATTTCTTTGTTTGTTTACTTCACATCACTTTTTATCCTTTTTGCCAGTTTATTTAGTCATCCGTTTTGTCCCTTAGGCACAAAGAAATAGACATGCTGATTTTTCCCGAGTCTCTTCTGACAATCTTATCTAACTAATCTTTAGCCTAACCGTAGCTTTTATGATGTTTTAAAGTTCTATTTTTGCTCATTTTATGTTATGTAAACATTCCACAGTGTCCATATATTTACATGTATTTACAGTAATCATGTAAAGCTGTTACTTAGAAACAGTTTGTTCCTAAATTGGTTGTCACAAAAGGTTTTCGTTCTGAACAGTGGTGGCAGAAAACAATTATACTTAAGGAATCATATTAAAAAAAATCTTTTCTTTTAGAGTTCTGATGAACATTTAGTTTCTGCTTCACTGTTAGAAGGGTAACGCTTCCTTTTACAGTCCCCTATTTACTAAGTACTTACATAGTAATTACATAGTAAGTATAAGTGTATTATTGTTTTTGAATTCTTTAACAGTTATTACCATGTAACTCAGGTTCAATTCTAGATTTTATTTTTATTAAGCATTCCCTGTAAATACTGCTTTACACAATATTCACACTTTATTATAATTATACACTTTAATTACACAATAAAACACTTTAACTTACTATGTAATTACCATTTAAGTACTTAGTAATTAGGGGACTGTAAAAGGAAGTGTTACCTTCAAATTTCTATTTTCAATCATTTGCAGAAATTGCCGTTTGTATAATTGGCCCGATAAACAATTTCGTGTCAATCCTTTGCCTTTTGTAGCTGCCTCCTTTAGTAAAAAGGTGTTACAGTAAACTGAAGTCTGTGTGAAATACAAACAGGTGTGGTTTGTGAGTGAGAAGGTTCTCTAAAGTTAAGGTTCCACTTTCACCACATTCTGATGGAGAAGAAAACCTAGAAGAAGAGCTGTTCTTCAAATAAACCAGCAAAGTGCATGCACGAGTTCCAGAAACAAACTCACTGCTGTGAAACCCAGACCATGCTCCTGTACCCCCTGCAGACCCTCATGCGTACCCCATGTCACCATGCGCCACTCACTTGCTAAGCCGCAGACCTCCGGCATGCATGTGGCTTTGGATCGTCTGCCAGCGCCCGGCCTTAGTGCCCCCTGACACCATGCTTCGAACGCTGTTGCTGCGACTTGGCCCCGCCCCTGTACCAGAGCAAGCGCCGCCCCCGCTGTCGCTGGCCCCCGGTGAGGGTCCAGCACCGCCCTGCCCACCCTTATCCACAGCCCCACTGGGAGACCCGATGGGGCATCAGAGACAGACAAACAAGGACGGACGGGAAGAAAGAATCAAGAGAGAATACAAAAAAGAGGGAAAGATGAGAGACAGACGCACAAACGTACAGGGCCGGAGAACAAAAGCGTTGTCAGGTTAGTCAAATCATCCATTCATTACAGTAGATGTCATCTGTTGTTTACTGTCATTTAAAAAGTAAAGTTCATCTGCTCTTCATCAGATCTTAAAATGAGGTAAACACAACTACAGGGAGCTCATTGTTTATTTCACTGTATCATTATTTTTCAATGAAAAGCGAAACCAGAGACCCGAAGCGTGAGTTTGCTGTTAGGAAAATCTTCAGCAGAAATAACATAGTCTGAGCGTATGGGTGCTTTTCATTTTGTTGAGGAATACTTCTCTTATTTCCAGCATTGACGTTTGCAGACAGACCTGGCTGTCTTAAGGTCTCGCTACAGTGGTTTACTCTTAGTTCAGTGCTAGAGTGGACGTCTTCCAATCAAAAGATCAGGGGTTTGTCTCAAACAGAACTCAGAAGACCCGTAATGACGCCAAACACAGTAAAAGTATATAAAAAAATCTTTTATTTTTTGTGGAGTTACCAGAGGAGGGCGAGGCAGGAGACGGAGTCGGAGGGCAGGTGTGTGTCAAAACCAGATCGGCACAAGCAGGTACAGGGAGCAGGCTGGAGACGTGGTAGAAGACAGGCGAGGGTTGTGATGGCAGGCAGAGTTCAAGGCAGGTGTCAGGAGAAAAAACAAGCTCCGGAGGCAGAGAGCAGGCAGGGTGGATGGCTGGAGAATTTACTGGCAAATGTTTTCAATAATCTGGCACTGAATGACTGGATGGCTGGTTCTTTTGTAGCAGGGGAAACAGGTGTGGGTGATGAGCTGAGGAGTCAGAAGCAGGTGAAGTGGATGAAGCTGATTGTGGTATCAGGGAAACAGGGCTTAACTGGGGCTTGATGATGAGACCAGGTGTGCTGCATGAAGGCTGAGGAGGGTGAAGGATTGGAAGTCAAGGGCGGATACCAGACGCCCACAGGAAACCAGAGCAGGGCGGGAGTAGGGGGACCAGAGGAGTCTGGGGGGCTGGCGACGGGGGACCAGGAGCCGGGACTGTGGGAGTCGGATGATAGAGGACACTGGAGGACGAGGACCAAGAGGGGACTCCGGGCTAGGACACTGAGGGGACACTAGAGGACAAGGACCAAGAGGGGACTCCGGGCTAAGACACTGAGGGGACACTAGAGGACAAGAACCAAGAGGGGACACTAGAGGACGACAGAGGGGACACGAGAGGCTGAGGGGACAGAGGGAACTCTGGGACTGGTGGGGAAGTAGACTCTGGGACGAACACTGGGGACGTAGACACTAGTGGGGACTGTTGAGACTGGAACACTGGGACGTTGACTTCTGTCGACTTCGAGACTGGAGGCGTCGACCCTTGGACTGGAGGCACCGGACTGGGCTGAGCCTCTTGGACGGCCTGGACCTGAGCCTCATGGAAGAGCTGGACCGGAGCCTCGTGGAAGAGCTGGACCGGAGCCTCGTGGAAGAGCTGGACCAGATGCGGTGCGTCCTCCGGGACCACCGCCGAAGCAGGATGCGGTGCGTCCCTGGTTTACAGCCTAGTTTTTGTGAGTGGAGCCTTGATACAACGGCTGTTAGGCTCTTCCAGTTTTATCCAAATGCCGTTGTATTCTCTCCCAAAAGGGTTAAATTTTGTTCTCTTATTTAAACTGCAGAGATTTTCAAAATAAAAGCATAGTTTTCCTTTAACTTAACCCAGACTCGTCTCGTTTATTTTGCTGACCCTTCTCTCCTAGAGAGCCTTGAATGGGTCTGTAAAAGACCGAGAAAAGGCGACTGGTGTTTAGTACTATCTCATTTCCTCCGTCATCATGGGTTTCCGGTTCTGCAGGGGAGAGTGTTCCATGACAGTGTTTGCGTTCAAAACCTAGCTTGTTTGCAGATTCATTATAAGAGCTTTAACTCACACCTTTATGCTCCAGACAAGGAAATGTCTGCTTTTGTTGAGGTGATCACTCATGACTAATATCTAATTATCATGAACACTTGACTAGCAGCGCTTATGTGAGAGTGGTAAAGGTGAACTCAGGTTTAATAGACAGTTTAGTTCCTACTCGTGTTGTCTAAATGATGATGCAGTATATAGGGACGCCCCAATGCAACTTTTTCACTTCCGATACGATACCGATATTGCAGCCTTCAGTATTGACCGATACCGATATAAATCCGATTCGATATACCGTAAATCCTCTAATATTGGCCTGTATTCAATTAAAGGCCAGGTATCACATTTTGGCCGGTGTCGGCGGAGGTGAATAATGGCCGGTTTTTTATTGTGGCCGGGTGGAATGTGGTAACAAGCAAGTACGGGGGGCGGTTGTGTCATCTGTTTCACTTTTGATTTGCCAGTGATAGACCGCGAGGGTAACTTTAATCGTGCGGAGACGAAGAGGAGGTGAAAATTTGATATCAAGTTCAAAGTGAACGTGCTGATTATGCTGCAGAACACTCTGGGGAGCAGTAGGGGTTGTATGAACTAGTCACTAGTCGACTTCACCGCTCTATAGTGACTTTTTATGCCTGTCATCGACTAGTCGCTGTCACGTGATAATGACCGGCAAGATGCAGTCCTCGGAAAAGACAGCAGCCTGCTGTCAGCAGGTGACAAGCTCCTGCGCGTCGGGAGGCAACGCGCTGTGCCAGAGCGTCGGTACTGACACCCGCCGTAAAACGGACATTTAACCAAATTGTGACGTTTACCCTCTTGCAATTTAACCTTCCCCTCACCCCCATCCTAACCTTAACCAGCTTGCGCATGCAAAGCTCTGATTGTTGACGCGCTCCAGACATCTGCGTCCTGAGCACGCCACAGTAACATTATCAAATCAGGTGTCACCACCTCAAAAACTAATTTAACATGCAATCGTTCATGTCAGCTCATTTCCTTTTGTTTTCTGTCTTTTATTCTTTTATTTGTGCCTGATGCGTTTCGCTGCTGTGGAGCGGGGGCATCACCTGTTTTGTCCTCGGTGACGTACCTAACTGATGTGGCCGGCCGGGAGCACTCCGCTGTTTTTGCGGTCGGTAGATCTTTTAGAACTGCAGTTCAAAGGTAACTCATAAGGTGAATATATATGAACCCAGGTAGCAGTTTTTCTTTAGGATTGAGAGGAGATGCAGGAAGATAATAAACAGAGACAGGACAGAAAAATAGTCGAATAAAAACAAGTTAGTTTTTGTACCTGGTGGTTGCAACAAACAGACACCATTGAAGGTAATCAGAAGTGAGGAACAGAAAATGAAATAATTATTTTAATGTTTAGAGCAGCAGGAGCTCCGAGAGGCTGCAGGCGTATCAGTGAGTTTGCGGCCGCTGTGCAGGGGGAGGGGGGAGAGGGCTGAAGCAGAAACTACCGTTGTTAAAAGAAATGTGTTTAACTTTGAAAATGTGGGAGCAATTGTAATTGTCAAAAACTCCAGCGAACCATTAGTTCATTTTACTCAAATAGAAATCGAGGCCTGCCTCCAATTCTGGTCCTCCTTCCAATAAAGGCCTGGAGCTTGATGAGCTTGAGTAAAATACAGGCCCGGGCCTGTATTAGAGGATTTACGTTAAGCAAAAATCAGTCATTCTTTTACCTATTTCGTAGTGTGGAATGTATGAAAGGCTTGATCAAGTGATATTACTCAATCAGAGAACAAGAGCCAGTAACAGTAAGAATGAAAAAAAAGACTTGTTTTTAACCATTGGTTGCAAAAATGTGAACCTTAACAGACCACTTATATCGGAGATTTTTGATGCCGTCCGATATTATCCCATACAGTGTTTTTCGGGCTGATGTCGAATTACTTTCAATCTTGATATCGGAATGGGCCATCCCTAATATGCTCACCTGATGTGTTTACCTTATTTCAAGACTTTGTAAGTAAGCTGATCATTGTTACTTACTCATTTTCACCACATTGTAAACATGTGCCATAGCAGCTACATAGAACCCAATGATCAGTTTTAAATGCTGAGAAATGGCTCCATTTTTGTCGCAGGTGGCGACAGCATTGATCGACCTGCTGGCTGGTTGGAATGGGCAGCCCAGCGAAGTGATTATGCAGATGCATCGCTCCAAGCTTTTCAGACTGCAGATGCAGGTGATGAGAACACAGAGCACTAATGTCTGTAATCCCACACCTGCAGCAGTTACATCTAATGCCTCTGCATCATGTTTTACACCAGTTGCAAAGATCATCTGCAAAAGAAGAAGACGGTTACTCAGCATGCCACAAGCCCACCCCCTGCTGATCTAGGCGTAAAGCCACAGAGACGAACACAAATTGAACGCGGGACGCTCTGAGTGAAAACCAACCACAACAGGAGGACATCTGAGACCACAGTCAGACATAAAGTGAATGCTCAAAGTTGGGATTCTGGATAGGAATTCTCCCATTGACCATCAGCGTTTTGAACGTTATATTTAAATTTTTATTACCTGCCCTTAAAATCACATCTCAGAGGTGTATATGAAATTTGCAGAACAAATAATACTAGCTACAGTAATTTGTTGAGACGGAAATGAATAATTTACTCATCTACCATAGCAAATTTCAAACCCCACTCCGTTATCGACCTAATAAATACCAATTGAAGCTAAACAGAATGCAGAGCAATCACAGCGAAAGCTTTAATCACCACTGCGCACTGAGTTCACAATATTTTCAACATCACTGCTCAGACAGAGCAACTGATCACCTGGTGGCTTTTTTGAAAGGGTCACGTGAGCTGCAATTAGAGGATAAGAACAAACAGGTTGACTCGATGCCTCTGCCATCGTGTAAGATGCATCTAAATGAGGAAGCGGAGGCTGATACGGGGCAGACTTTTTACCATCCAAACGCTTAATTGCTCCGCTGCACGTGAAGGAGACGGCGTGTGTGGCTATTTTTAGAATGGGGCTCAGCAGACAAGACTCAGGAGGGCCATCAGGCTATGAGCTACAGTGGGAGTAGTTACAACAAGCAGAGGAGGTGGAGGACGAGGTGAGATGAGAAAAACACAAAGACTTCACACACACAGAAAACAACAGAACAAAACCCACCCTGCTTACTGAACCCATGCACAGTTCAGGTAATATGCCTATTTGTTTTCTAGTGAGACGCCAGATAATGAGATTAATTATAACAATACAACCAGGTGAGATTTGGCACCAGGACCACAGAAGAGTCAGACAGCTGTAGCAAAATCCATCTGCCAACACTTCCTCAAATCACTAATTTTTTTTAAATTTATTTGAGCAAGAAATAGAAGGGGACTCAAAACAAGCTCAGAGAACAGAACAGAAGCGGTTTGGTTTCCGTTTGGCTTCCGCAAAGACAAAAAATCGCTGTGTCCAATCAGAGCATTCACACCGACTGCGGTGTGGCGCAGAGTTACGGAAAGTTTCCGGTGTCCGCACGTGCTCATTGACTTTTTGCATTATAACATTTTATTCTCTTTAACTTAAACCATTTTATTATTATTTAGAGATGCTTGATAATAATAACTTTAAGTTTAAACATTTTCCTTTTTCTTTTTTTCGGACACTTATCAAAATTTTTATTATTTCATCTTTTTTTCATAGATTTATTTATTTATTTATTTTTCACACTCATGAGATTTGACTGATCTGTAATGGAATTGTTTTGTCTTTTAAATTACACCAAGTACAAATTTGGGTCTCAGGAGGTTAAAATACTTTCACCAAAATAAGTTTTATCTCTTCTTTTATTGTTGTTTTTTGGTTGATATAATAGGTTTATTAGAGAGGATGATACGGTGAACTAGACAAAATTTAGCATCTATACATGACACAAATAGGATGAAATAAAGATACAAACATGTTTATTTGTGAACTTTAAAAGTGTTTGCAGATAGATTTTGCCCAATTTAAATGTTTAAAAAGCAAGACTAGAGGCTAACTGTTTTCAATCCCATCAACCTGTTTACTCAAGCTATGCTAGTGGTTGTCTTATCCAGCTTCTCTCCAGAAGGCAAATACGCATACGTCTTTTAAGTTTTCAAAGAAACCCATTACCATAAATACAATTCTAGCAGCCAACCCTCAGCAGATATTTCAGAAGTGTTAAAACTTTGAACACTTGCAGTTTAGTGGCCACAAATGTTGTAAAATGTTCACGTAAAACAGTGAGATCAGCTCAAGGGTTGACCGTCTCCATGGTAACACCATGGGTTGCAGGTGAGAAGGCAAATAAGGTCTGGTGAGGATAGCAGGGCTGTAAGCAAAGGGGCTGTCACGCATTTTTATACTCTGTGCAAATGCAAAATAAAATGCGACATTCTGACTGTTATTATTTGGTTTATAGCAACAGAACTTAAGATATTGTTTTACAACATTAAAAAGTGATGTGAAAATCTCAGGTTTCAGTTTTGTTGTAGATTTATCTTTTTAAATGCAGGATTCTTGTGTAAATTTGGCTTTTGGGAGACATCTTTACATATAAAATCAGCTTTTTTTTAAATGGTCACATCTCTGTCAATGTTAGGGTAATCCTAAGAATCGCAGCAGTATTAAGGGATGGTGGTGCACATCACTATCAGGGCTGCATGACCAGCAGTGCATGCCAAGCACCGCCTCATCCCCTAAAGAAGAAACACCTGAGCTTTGCTGTTGCATGCTCAGAGGAATAAACTTAAAGACTTTTCTCTTTTTTTCATATACAAGTTCAAAATACTGAACTAAAATCATTAGTTTATTGTGCAGAAATGTTCCATTTCCTTATCATTAACCAGACACAGAGTTTTTCTTGTAGGTTTCCAGGATGTAAACGAGCCCCTTGTTGTTAACAGCCCTGCCCAGACAGAGGGGTCCCTTACCAGCCATGACCTGGACTCACTTGGGAGTGAGGCGAGGGTCTCCGTAGGGAGCATAGGGAGACATGTTTAGGAGGAACTCTTTGGGTGGGTAGGAGCTCCACCTTTGCTGCACATTGCTGCTGTCATTGTTATTCCAAAAGTCTCTGTCTAGATCGCTGCAGTCAGACAGACAGACAGACAGAGAGACAGAGGGTTAGACAGCAAACTCTGTGAAATTAAACATGAGCGAAAGAGAGAGGTGTCAACAGAACACCAAAGGTCAGTGAGAGGCAACGAACAGGGATAGATTAAAAATAAACTGTGCTTACAGTATAATCTATGCCACAGGACTTTTACGCACCAAATACATACACAAAAAACTGACTATTGTTTTGCAATTTGTATGTTTTAAAACCAGAAATTAACCAAGTGATGAAAACAGGTGTGGGAACCTTATAGATAATAATTATTTAAAAAGTGAAAATCAGTAAATTCTAAATTGAAACTGTAATTTTGAATGAATCTAAAGCATAAAAGTGTTAAAATGATTTCATTCAAGGCAAACTGTGCAGTTTTGGCTTGCTGTTAGCGCCCCCTAGTGTCCGTTTGTAGAACCGAAAGCAAAACCTATCTCCACACTGTGCGTTCGTCTTTTTAACACCTGAATCTAACAGCTGAAATGTCTCCCCAGCCTTCCTTAGTGTCTAGAAAAGTGATTCATTAAACAAATCAGCTGTGTTCATGATCTAAAACATGCAGGAAAAGTGCTAGACCCAGACGGCAGCGCCTGGTATGTCAGTCTGAAGTTGCAAGTGGAATATTCTGGCCACAGAGGGCGATGGGGGCTGGGTGGCCTTTGTGTGGCCCTGTAAAAGGTCTTTTTATTTATTTATTTTTTTTATTCGGTCAACAACAACAAATCATCAATTTTACATAAAAGTAAAAACACATACTGGCTCAAGAAAAGATTTTAAAAATATGAAGAAGTTGCAAAGTATCCTTTTAAAGCTGATAGAAACTACAGCTTTCTGAGGATGAATCTATTAAAAGGCAAAAATGGTGCAAAAAATAAAATAAATAACCCATTTGACAACAAGTGAAGTGTTCACATGCATTTAATACATTTATGGTGAACCTTTTCATTTCCAATCAATTTATTGCCTTCGACTGAACTAATATTCTTGGATATGAAACACACTTTAACTTTAGTTTCTGCACATAAGTGAAAAGGGAGCAGGAAGAAGAAAAGTCTTATAAGGCCCACCCGTTTTTCAACAAATTAAAATAAACATCATAGCCGCTACGTTAAGTTCACTTACAGTCCCATTTTAACGCAGAGGCACGTTAGACGTGTATATAACGTGTGCAACTGACAATTAAGATAAAATATTTGTTTTTTAAAAAATATAGAAGAATCATTTGGCCATTTCTCTTTAAAATAAATTAAATTTTTGGAACTTGCTGGAACAATATTTTATTTGGAGGAAAGAAAGGAAGCCTAAATCCAACTCATACAGCAAAACTCTTGCTCTAATAAATACATAAATAAAAGATGGAGAAGGCCTTGAACACTGGGTCTGCAGAAACCCAGTAAATGGAAAGCCTTTCATTTTTAACAATTTGCTTAGATTTTAAGGTTTTGTGAAAACATAGGAGATGCATTAAAGTAGAAAACAGACTCCTGACAGAAAATAAGAAATAAGTTAATTTACCATCAAACAGTTTTACAGCGCAGATGGGTTATCCTTTTTAAAACATTTGTCGACATTTACACTTTTATTAATTTTATCTGAAAGACAGGATTGTTTTTATATCAAGACGTCTGGGAAATTAAAATGTTTGTGTTTTTGGGTTAAGAAGAAAAATCTTTTAATTCAAAACTTTATTAGCATAACTCTGTGTTCAGAAATAAGTAAAGTACACCTGACACCTACTTGATGGCTTTGTTTTCTCCTCGACCTCTCGGAGAGTCTGGAGAGCCGGGAGCCTCCATCCCTGGTTTGTTCCTCTTCCCCTGCAGAGAAACAAGACAAACGCACAGAATCAAAAAGGGAAGCGGATCTCAGACCTGTGTCTTGTTTGTGGCGCACAAATGCATTTTTCCACGTGTGGATTTCATCACAGAGGCTCTGAGACCACATCAGATTCTACTAGGTGTGACAAAAACATGACGAATGAGAGAAGAGCTGCAGATTTTGGTTTGATGGCCAGAACTGCAGGATGAGCGTGACGAGGGACAACTTCACTAAAATGAGATGCAAAAACACACTTTCAGATGAATAAAGCATGCACAAACATAACTTTACACAAAGCAACAGTAAAACACACATTTACTTTATCTGGCTGTGTATCACAATTCACATACTAACAGGTAATTATGGATAAGACACTGTAAACGCAGAGAAGATCGAAACGTTCATTTAACCTCAGAGCTGCTGCAACATACGTTAAAAGCTGCGGATGCACATTCATTGTAGCAGACTTCCATCACAGGAATAATTTTCCAGAGCAGAGGAAGGTTGTTAATAGTGAAAATAATGTTAAGTTGGTTATATTAGAAAGGTTTCTTCTTTTAAAGGCATACACTTCTCATTTTTACACCAGTTTTACCACTTAGAGGTGTAAACTTTCAACAAATGAGAATAACTCAGTAGCTACAGGTAAAATATGTTTTACTGAACTTCATCTTCATTCACCTCCTGAGTCTGTAACACTGAGCTCCTTCTCTGAGTCACTAGCATCCTTATGCAACACGTTTCTATTATAGACTAATGAGGAGGTCAGAACGGGGCTCAAAATGTTCAGCTAAACATTCTGTAAAATGTTCTTCATAATCCATCCATTCTCCTCCGCTTGTCCGGGGTATGGGCGCACGGGAAGGAGCCTAAGCAGAAGGGATGTGAATATGACAACAGCTCACAGTTCAATTCGATTCCAATTCTCGGGGTGACGATTCATTTCAGAATTGATTCTCAGTCAATGATATTAGTGACGAAGAGTGTCAACTGGAGTGAAGACTAGAATGTGCATGTAGCTGTATGCTTGTGGTCTGAAGAAGCAGAGAAAAAGTGAATACGATGTGTCAGTGTGTGTGAAACATCTTAACAGGTTTGGATGGACCAGTAACATGTATCATTTAACAGGAAGACTAACCCCGGGTTTCCACCAGAGCCGTCAGCAGCACGTTACTGCAGCAGCACGTCTTGCTCGCGTAAACTGCTGCTTGGCCCTTCCCACGAGACGCGAAGCAGCAGGGGAGCAGCTGTCACCGACCGAGCACGAAGTCACACGAGTGACTTCGTCAGTAAACACAACAACAAGCAGGAGAAAACTACAACATGGTTTGTGTTTAATGTTCTGTCTGTTATAATCGCCAAAACGGACCTGAAAAACAAAGGAGACCACTAGCTAGGAGATAACTTCTCACGGGGCCGCAGTTAGTAACCTTTTTTAAAGTAAAGCAACCGGAAGGCAGTACGTTCTTTATTCTGAAAATCTCGGGAGCTTCTCTCCATTTCCGTGTCCGATTTCCTGTCTTTCCTTCCCCAAAAATGTCGAACTTGACCCGTTTCAGAGGCGTCGCGCGTAGAAAATAGAACCGGCGTGTAAAGGCCGCGACATGCTGCTCCTGACACACGGCCGACTCGCGCTGCTGACGGCTCCAGTGGAAAAGGTTCTGTTGAACACAGCAGTTCCTATCAGCAGCCATGACGTGCTGCTGACGGCTCCTGTGGAAAGCCGGGGTCACCGGCACGAATTAGTCTTAACAAGTGTCAATTATCGGTGCCGTCAGCATGAAACACACTCAAATTCAACAGGATAAACCATTTAAACATTATGGAAATTACTTCTTGGCTCATGAATTAATAAAAAAGGTACGTCTCTGTCGTATCTCAGCCGATTGCTCAGTCTAGTTTATTAGGCTAGCGTAGGAACACAGAGCAGCTCAGCTAGCGCCGGCTCCAGCATTGATGCGATCAGGGTGCTAGGAAGTTCAGTAGTTTACATGAAGGCTTTCGGACAGGACCAATTCAGAATCTTTATTTGAATAATCGTGATTTGGACGTAAATCTTTTATTTTTTTCCAGACACTTCTACTAAGCAGTGAGACCCAGACTACCCCTCCTCCAGCTTCACTGGCTGCCAGTCAACTTCAGGGTTCATTTCAAGATCCTGGTTCTGGTCTATAGGGCCTTACATGGACAAGCACTATCTTACATTGGTGATCTTCTCAGTTCCTACACCCCCAGCAGGTCCCTGAGGTCCAGTGACCAAAGCCTACTGGTTGTGCAGCACCAGGCTAAAGACCAAAGGTGACAGATCATCTGCTGCTGTGGCCCCCAGACTCTGGACCTCTCTCCCCCTGAGCCTGAGATCAGTGGACTCAGTGGTCTCCTTTAAAAAGCAGCTGAAGACTCACTTGTTCAAGCTGGCTTTTGTATGACCTTCTTCACCACTCTCTCTTTATTCTGCTCTCCCCACCTATTCCACCTTCCTCAGGATCCACTGATTTCCCTCTTTCCTGTTCACTCTCTCTCTTTCTTAACAATTTTTCTTTTAAATCCAGATTGCCTATTTTTGCTCATTATAAATATAGTTTTAAACATTTTCTAAATGCTTTTTTGTATTTTAACATTTTTTTTTTGTTTTGTTTTTGTGAAGCGCCTCGTGATTTTTATCTTGAGAGGCGCTATAGAAATGATATTTTCTTCTTCTTCTTCTACCCTCTCCCCAGCCACTTGGGTCAGCTCTCCAGGGAAATCCTAAGGCGTTCCCAAGCCTGCCGAAAGACATAGTCCAGCCAACATGTCCTGGGTCTTCTTTTAGGTCTCCTCCCTGTCGGATGTGCCCGGACGGAAAACCTCACAAGGGAGGCGTCCAGGAGGCATCCTCCGGGACGACCGAGCTTCTTACCCTATCTCTAAGGGAGAGCCCAGACACCCTGCAGGGAAAACTAATTTTGGTTGCTGATATCCGCTATCTCGTTCTTATGGTGACTACCCAAAGCTCATGACCATATTCTAATACTTTGAATTTAGAACAATTTGAATTTATTTGTGTCAAAGGGTATACCTGTTTCATATTCACACCTGTGTAGAATTCACTTCGCAGCTGACCTTAACTGCATGTTTTCGGACTGCTAGAAGACCCTGGAGAGCATCAAAAACTGCAGAAACCACACAGTTTATGTGAAAAAACTCCCATCTGGTGCAGTGGCTTCACACCCACGACCAGCAATAGTGCTGCCATGAAGCCTCAAGAAGGAGGTCAGTCTGACGTCAGGATCTGCAGAGCTGAATGGATTGTGTGCATTAAATTATATATGAAAGTGAAAAGAGTTTCTGAAGAGCAGCTGCCACAAGTTTCCTGGTGGAAAAACGGCAATATTACAGTTCACACTCTTAAAAAAAAACTCACAAACACCACAATTGTGAAGCGTTCGGAGCAAATGTGAAGATTTTTCAAGGAAACGAAACACAAATTTTTTTCAAGTGGTCAATACCAGATATGTGCTGAATGTAAAATAAGTTCCTAAATTCAAAAATATATATATTTTTTTCATTTTGGAAACAAAAATTATTAGGGATGCTCGATATTGTTATTTTTTCTTTGTCAAAATCCGATAATTTCTAACTCTTAATTTCCGACACCGCTATATGCGGCGTCCCCCCCAATAAAAACTATTTGGAGGTGGTCAAATGCGTGTGTCTCACGCTCATCGCGTGAGAGTTGGCAGCCATGCTGGTGTGTTTACATCTTACATTTAGGCAGAAACAAATGAATAAACGGATCACAAACATGCTGATTTTGATTTATACATTCGTGCCTCAGAGAAAATTTGTATCAATTTGTTTAGAGAATGTTTGGGTGTGTGTTATAGTTACTTAGCTGACAAAATGTAAGCAGCATAAGTGTACACATGCTAAGTGATGCTAATTGCTAAGCGCAATGCTAAGATGTGTGTCAGTAACATCGACATATAAATATTGGACAATGGGTTTCCATAGACTCCAATAAGTTTTTGAGCTAAAATGGGAGGTGGCCACCACCGCCATTTTGACCGTGTCACAAGTTCCGTCAAGCCCAGACAATTCCACAAAAGGGAAGAGGTGGAGCTGAGGGTGGGGCTGTAAGGCTGGGATCAACTGACGACATGTGGTCGAACTAGCTACAAGCTAACCTGAAGTTAACCCAAAGCTAACGCAGAGGTGGGAGCTAAACTAACGGAGGTAGCAACCTAGCTACAACCGGAGTTAACTGTGCACAACATCAGAGCTTCTGAGTCAGAGATACACTGGGCTGACCGCTGGGTAAAACAGGGTGGAACACAGAGGTCTCCAGAGCGCTTCACAAGCCGGCAGCCGCACAGCAGACAAGTGCCGCTGCGATCTGAGATGCGCAGAGCTGCCGCTGGGGAGAACCTGGTGGAAAGGTTTCCATCCCAGAGCTCCACAAGCCAGCAGCCCGCGCAGCAGTGAGGAGTCGCGATCAGACAGAGATGCGCCGATCTACGGGGAGGGGAGAACCGGGTGGAAAACATCGGTGTCCTGAGAGCTCCACAATAGAGCCCTGCACTGAAGCCAGAGGCCCGAGGGCCGGGTTTCGGGCCAATGACTGTGTAATTACCTTGGACACGGGCCGGGCGCCTTTATTTTTATCACTTGTAAGTCGCTTTGGACAAAAGCGTCTGCTAAATACATAAACATAAACATATTTTTAATCAAATTCATAAAAAAAACTGAAACACTTAAACGCAGCAGCACCTGCCTGCTTCTCACGCACCGGCACCCGTTAGCTCAGTTAAGGTCTGTGTGGTTCATAAATGTGCCTATATAAACGAATTCTCAAACTGCTGATTGAAACATGTGCCCCTACTCTAATATGCCATTTTATGTCCACTTTGATATGTCAGAAACCATTCGTTTATTCTCATGAAAACGGCAGCATTCTATTTTTCTGTGAATAAATTCGTTCTGCAGTTAAAAAAATACAGCATTCATTGCTGGGTTTTTT